TCTTTTTTATAATATCTAATGGTAAGAATAATAATTATTATAATGAAAATGAAAATTAATTTTATATAGATATTAAAAATAAAATTGTTATTTAAATTACAAAAAATTGATCACTTATTTTTAGAGAAAAAGGTCAAATAAGTCTCAAAACTTTACCTAAGAAGTCAATTAAGTTCTTCAACTTTCAAAAGTTGCAATTAAACCCACAAACATATTATTTTGAAGCAATGAAAACTGCAATCCTATTTGTGACCTGTAATTGTAGGTTAACCAGGGTTCCGGCCAACTCCGGCGAACGTCCAACCAAATTCCGGCAATCCATGTCCAAACGGTCGCGTTGATCATCTTCTCCAGACGCGGCTGGAGACCGTTTGACAAATCTGGGCCTTTTATCTAGATTAGTAGACGGTGCATGCCATTTATAACACAATGCTCACACATAGTGCATTGCAAACACAATGGATGAGAGAATGAATTCAAAATCAATTAGTGCAATGCACACATATTGTGCACCACGTCCTGGGTTAACTTTTTCCGTGCACCATATTCTCGACCGTTAGATTATGCAACACCAAGAGTGTGCACAGGTTCTTAGTTTAACATAATAAGGTATGTTCTCAGCTGAACACACACACACGCATATATATATATATATATATATATATATATATATATATATATATAGGGTCATGTTCATGTGAGAACATGTCTTCTTGTGCGGTCAGCGCGGCATACACCATTAGGTAGCATAAATGCACCACACAGTGTTCGAAAATACACCATTATTGTGTGGTGTATTTTTTTTTTTTTTTTTTTTTTTGTGTGGTGCATTTTTTGGCATTTCATTCTGGTGTATTCTTGAACACTGTATGGTGCATTATGCATACCTAATGGTGTATGACGCCCTGACTGCATGGGAAGACTTGTTCTCACATGAACCAAAATCTATATATATATATATATATGCGTGCGTGTGTGTGTGTGTTAGAGATCAGATGTGGAGGTTGTGTCCTAGTGAAACATGCAGTGAGATGAGAGCCATTGATCTTGCCAAAATCAATGTCCAGGATGAACACGGATTAAAAAACGCGGTGACAATTTGGTCATGTTGTGTATTGTTCAAACTTAAGGTGCGTAGTTTCTGTGCTTATGATGCGTCATATTAATACTTATGGTGCGTCAGTTATACACTTGAGAACTTAAGGTGCGTTTTTTGTTGAAACTTAAGGTGCGTCATTCGATCTTAAGCTTAAGGTGCATCATTTCAAAGCTTGAGGTGTGACCTTTTAACACTAAAGGTGCAACATTTTAACATTTAAGGTGCGCCCGTTATAAACGTAAGGTGCATCATTTTGACACTTAAGGTGCGTGATTTTACTCCTTAAGGTGCGTTATTCTAAAACTTAAGGTGAGTCTTTGTAACGCTTAAGTTGCGTCATTTTACTTTACCCTAAAGGTAATAGCTCATTCCTTGGAGTGTTATTCCCAAGAAAAATGGTCAAAACAAACAATGGAATATGTCTATTCTTAAAAATGTTATTTCATTCCTGACATATTCTATGAACCATACATGTTGTAAATGTACAATGCATTGTTATTAAAAAAAATTACTCTTATTGTATTTTTGTTGGACATAATTGTATTTACATCATTATAACTCCGTTACAATTTAATGAATTATACTCCGTAATATTGATGATTAAATAAATAAAAATTATAATGCACCCTTATAATGATCATACATAGTGTAAAGACTATAAATTAATTTTTTTTAATGATTTTGCATCAATTGTCGTTATAACTTTGTAAATTGTATGTAACTCAAAAAAAGTTAATTGTCATTTTTCAATATAAATATAAATATTATGATAGTAATTAACCATTTCAATATAATATGGATTCAATAACTTTTGGTGTATATTCATTATTATTGATAGGGGAAATGACATATTTCTCCTTGAGTTGTTTACTTATAGCACATTTTCCCCCTATGTTGTTTATGTAACCACTTTATCTCCCTCAATTGTTTTTAAAGTGGTTATTTCTTCCCCTCTTCATTAAATAAGTGTTAGGGCAGTTAAAAATAAGGATAAAAATGACATTTCACGTATTATTATTATTATTATTATTATTATTATTATTATTATTATTATTATTATTTAATATAGATGGATTACCGCACCCAACGCCCTAATATACTCCAGTACTCCACGCCCTAAACAAAATATATACTCCGTAATATAAAAGAATTATAGTGGATAATAAACACATACAAACTATTATTACAATTAAATAATCAAATAAACAAAAGATATATCACAAATCCTGGAAACATAAACAAATTTGTTTACGGCAACATAAGCAAACAAAAATTAAAAAAAAATAAAAATAAAATAAAAAAAAATAAATAAATATGGGTATAGCAGCTGTTTCTAGGAACATAAATATGAGCTGACGAGTAGTCATTTCTGGAAACATAAACATGGAACTCTAATATATTGGGTGTGGAGTACTGGAGTATATTGGGGCGTTGGGTGTGATAATCCATCTATAATAATAATAATAATAATAATAATAATAATAATAATAACAACAACAACAACAACAACAACAACAACAACAACAACAATAATAATAATAATAATAATAATAAGTGAAATGTCATTTTTACCCTCATTTTTAACCGCCCTAACACTTATCTAATGGAGAGGAGAAGAAATAACCACTTTAAAAACAATTGAGAGGATAAAGTGGTTACATAAACAACACAAGGAAAAAATGTGCTATAGGTAAACAACTCAGGGGAAAAAGTAGTGTCATTTTCTCTTATTATTATTATTATTATTATTATTATTATTATTATTATTATTATTTCTTAAATTATTTAAATATAATCATAATTATTTTCAAATAACGTGGAAAACTCATAGCAATTACCCAAAAATATGCATTGAGTAAATTTCGCCTTGTGATCCTAACCAGCAAAGGACCACAATGAGTTAATATATTCATAATAATTTTAATAATGGGTAATAATGTTAGGCACTTTCATGCATTGTGCGTACAAATACTAGTAGGTATATACATAGTAAATGAATAAACATATATATATATATATATATATATATATATATATATATATATATATATATATATATGCGTGTGTGTACACACCCCAATATGTATATGAGTATGTAAACATGTTGAGTCATTGTGATTTAATCATTCACTATTTTGTTGGGGTGGGGTCTTGGATGTAGGAGTAGGGAATTTTGCTTTTTATAGATAAGTACATATGCATTATGTAAGTAAATAAATAAATAAATATTTGATTTTAATTAAATGTGATAATTGATTAATTATTTAAAAAAAAAAAAATTATTCCAAAAAAGCATAACACCTAAGAGCATGCATATCAGTGCATTTTATTTGGTTTTTGCAGATGAAAAAATCAAGAGTGAATTTTTAACTAGTGTGGGAGGGTTTTTTGTTTTGTTTTGTTTTGTTTTGTTTTGTTTTTTTTATTTTTTTTTTGAGCTTTTACTACGACAAATAATACATTTTTGTGGGACCCTATTGCTGCTAAAAGACAGAGAAATTCAGAGATCAACAGCGCAGGTGAGCGGCACATATTGTGCGCCTAGTTAGCGCATAAACTGAAAGGGATTGTCAGCTGAAAGGGATGGTCAGCTGTCAGCCAGGCCGCAACTTTTGTTTTTCTTTTTATTTCTTTTTCCTTGCTTTTCTCTCTTTCCTTCTTCCTCTCTTTTCTGCATGGCTCATAAAAAAACCAAAAAAAAAAAAAATACACTATTATGGATGCTCTAAGCCCCTATAAATAGTTATTTAGCAATAAGTATTATGAAGAACGAGACAACTTCAATTAAATTAGTTTAACAATGACTTGTTAATCATAAGGTTGTAAGTTTGAATCGTTGGATTTATTTTGTCATCCGTTTTACAAATCAAACTTGGTAACATGTCAAAAGTTTGTATTCAATGGTGTTAGTAATTTTTTTAAAAACTTTTATTATAGTAAAAAAAGAAAGTGAGTTAATTCTATTTTTTGTCATAGATTTATAGTTGTCAATCTATTTTTATTCATTTTCTTTCAGAACATCTCCATTGGTCCTAGTATTATTATGGCATAACCATTTTTTTTGTCCTCTGTCAACAAAACTGTTTAAATGGTATTAAATACAATGACATTTTGATCTTTTTCAGTTCTAAGTGTTAATTTGTTTTTTTTTTTGGTCATAAATTTATGTGTCATTCCACTTCTAGTCTTTTTTTTTTTAAACATCATCATTGGTCTTGGCATTATTATGAAATGACAATTTTTTGTCCTACGTCAATAAACGTGTTTACATGACATTAAAAATGACGTCATTAAACACTTGAAATCCTCCTTTTGTCTTCTTAGAAATAAAACAATACACAAGTTCTATATCTTCAAAAAACCATATACAGTGATCATACACTCATTGATAACATAAATAATCCATAATATATATATTCATATTATAATGGCGCAAAAAGGGCTACCTATTCATATGTCTACTACAAAACTGAAAAAGATATAAATAAAAAATCACAAGTCTAAGGGCATAAGCCTACTTCATAAAAATTCACAAGATTTAACTCTAAAAAAGTAAAATAAAAATTTACTACAAATTCAATATTGGGATAAAAATCATAAAATGATACCAAATATTATACCAACTGCACCAGGTAAAGCCTAAAGGCAGAGGTACCCATCATAGGTGACAGCTCTATGTTCAGCAGGAATCAGGCCAGCCCCTCCATGATCATTGGAGATTTGTTCTTTTTTTTTTTTTTATAATAATAATTACAAAAAAAAAAAAAAAAAAAAAAAATCAATCTCACAGTATAAATATCAATCCCAACACTCTAAGTTGTATCCCATAATTAAAGTCTGTAACTTTAAGAGCAGCTCAAGTGTACGGATTATTTGCATCCATCTAGAGGGTACTATTTTTTGTAACTGATTTGTATTCTTCTGGGTTTTACTAGTAGTGTTTTAGTGTAATAAGAAGCTGAAATGGTGGACTTTTCTTCTCCATATGTGGGGAATAGAAGGAAGCTTTGAAATGTGACATTGTTAGTTGGCTGCATTTATTCATCTTTCTGGTAATTTATATGGTGTTTATGTCTCCCTGGCTTTCACATTGTGGTGGGTTTTTTTTAGGTTTATCAGCCTGCATATTTCATTTTTCTTATGCGTAAATTTAAACCTGTTCCTCGTGAAAATCAAGTCTTTAAATTTGGGTCTGAGCTCAAGTTTGAAATTTTATGCTTTCCATTTTCAGAATCTTGGTTGGTTTACAGAAGAAGAGTGTGAACCCTAGGATTCCTCTAAGAAAATCTTGATGGCATTCTTGGATTTGTTTGTGGTGGCACTCATGCCGGTTCTGAAAACACTTATCATTACGGCCATTGGATTGGTTCTTGCGTTTGAGCGTGTGGATATCTTGGGGGCATCTTCAAGGCACCATTTGAACAATGTAAGCCACCAATCCAGTTTCTAGTTCTAGTCTGCAACATAGGAGGATCAGAACACAGATTTTTTTGTTTTCTTTTGGTTTTTACTAGGTTGTAGCAGAGTTTGTTCTAATGTTGTGCTTGGTGGCAGCTTGTGTTTTATGTGTTCACTCCGGCGCTTGTGGCTAGCAGCCTCGGAGAGACAATAACAGCAAGCAGCATAGTTAAATTGTGTGTTCAGTTCTGCTTTCTTTCGATCTGCTAATGTTGTTTCTGTCTCTTCAATGTTTCATTAAGTCCTGTTTTTTTTTTCTTAATCCCCAGATGGTTCATGCCTGTGAACATCCTTTTAACATTCGCCATCGGATCAGCTCTCGGTTGGATCCTAGTCAAGATCACAAGAGCCCCCAGAGAACTACATGGTCTTGTAATCAGCTGTTGTGCTGCAGGTACAATAATGAAACAGCTAAAAAACTCAACGATTTCGTCGAATTTCAGGCACCTTATCTGTTCATTTCACAGGGAATTTGGGGAATCTGCTTCTCATCATAATCCCAGCAGTGTGTGAAGAGAGAAACAGCCCGTTTGGAGATCCCACGACGTGCTCTACCAATGGAAAAGCCTATGCATCACTTTCAATGGCAGTAAGGCACAACGAAAAAAAAAAAAAAAAAAAAAAAAAAAACTTTTTAATACTTTCTTATGAACACAGTTTAATTTGGTTTTGTGATTGCAGATAGGGGCTGTTTATATATGGACTTACATATATAACATAATCCGGGCTTATGGAACCCCGCGAATGAATTCTAGTACTGACATAATGGGTTCTGGCTTCTTAGATAGCTGCAGAGAAGCTTTACTTTCAAGTCATAGTTTGAAATATGATCAAGATGAAGAAGCTCAAATAGTATTTGAGGAAGAAGAGGTTGGAATTGGCTGCCATTCTTCTCTTTATTATAACAATTTTGTTTCATTTCATTTACTCTACTTATATATATGTGGTTTTTCATTTTTGCCATGAACCTCCTCAGAAACCTTCTGAACTGAAGAGGCTTAGACAAAATGTGAAAATGTGGGCAGACAAGATCAACCTAAAAATGATGTTTGCACCCTCCACCATTGCAACAGTAAGTATGAATTATGATCATATCCTTTTCATCTGAGCTTATATCAGTCTAATCTATCCTTGAACTCGATCTTTTTTTTGTTTTCTTCCTCGCGGGTTACAGATAGTTGGGATTGTGATCGGAGTAGTGTCGTTTCTACGAAAGCTGATAATTGTAGACAACGCTCCGCTTCATGTTATCGATAGCTCTGCAGATATGTTGGGGTATGAAGGCTATACCATTTATGTATTTCTCTAGCCATTCACTATGTGATATGTGATGAGCTATATATGTTGCAGGGATGCAGCCATACCGGCTATGACACTCATAGTTGGAGCAAATCTTCTTAGAGGTTTTAACTTTTAACTGAACTGTTAAGCTGATAGTGGAACTGTTCGTTTATTATTTTATATATTTATGCTTAATAAGCGTATTAGTTTGGACCGAACTTTGTTAATGTTGAGTCGGGGTGTTGCAGGGCTAAAGAAATCAGCAATTGGGGGATGGGTTGTGATAGGGGTTCAGGTGGTGAGGTTCGTTCTGCTACCTTTATGTGGCATTGGCGTCATCACTTTGGCTCGACATTTTGGGTGGGTGGGATCGGATTCTTTATACCACTTCGTTCTCTTGTTGCAATATGCACTTCCTTCTGCCATGGGTATAGGTAAGCTTCTCCGATTTTTCATTCTCCTTTCTCGGTTTTTCAAATCCGAGAAAACAATAATACAAGTAAACGTATTCTCTGTTTTCATTTATGTTTCTCCAGAAAGTTAGAGAATTTCTTTAATTTGGTGAGTAAGAATTGGATTTTTGGTGGTAAATTGGCAGGTACAATCACACAGTTGTTTGAGGTTGGGGAGAGTGAGTGTTCAGTGATTATGCTGTGGAACTACTCTGTGGCTTCACTTGCTCTTACTCTTTGGACCACATATTTCATGTGGATTTTGTCTTGACTTTCTTTGCCTTGTAAAAGTTAAGGAATATTGGGAGAAAGAGGAGAAGGATATATATATATATATATATATATATATATATATATATATATATATATATATATGTGAAAGGAAAAAAGTTACAGAAAAAAGGGAGCATAAAAAAGAGCATAGTACATAGTATTTTATTTATTAATGTTATTGTTTTGGTGAAACAGTATTGTAACATTTTGAGTGGTTTGTGATGAGTTGTTTACTTGATTTGAGTTGTGAAAAAAGAGGACTTTTTATTTAGAACTTTGGGTTGGTTTACAAATTGGAGAATTTCTCCAATTAGATAATTGAAAACAGAAAATGTGTTTATTAGCACAATTTTTAATTTTGAAAAGGGGAAACATTTTTCAGAATTTTTAAAAACGGTTTTCTAAATGAAAACAGAATCCTCATCGTCTATTTAGTTATATATCACTATAATAACAACTTACATATTTATTCATTACTATGATTACATTTAGTATCACCTTATTATATTTATCATCATCTTCTATATTTTCTATTTGCATTTACTTATATAAATATAACTTTTTTGTTTATGCTTTAAAGTTAGACGTTATTCAAATTTCAAACTATCACAATTAAATTTGAACTCTACACAAAGTTTTATATTTTGATTGAAATCAATAGATTATTAGTTCAGATATTTTTAATTATGTTATATTATAATATAAGTTTGGTCCATATTTGACTTCAAAATAAAAATTATAAATATACATTTCATTTAAATTAATATATTCACAAATATTTTAAATATTAACCCAAAAAATATTAATATTATCTAAACTAAATTTTAGGTGAACTTAATAGATTATTGATTCATATATATATTTTTAGTTATGTTATACATGAATTTAAATTTAGTTTGGGTATCAAATGTAAAATTCTTAACTATATTAGACTTAAAAGTAAAAATTATACTATGTATTTATTCCATTTAAATCAAACATATCAAAAATTATTTTAAATATAAGGTCTAAAATTCTTTGAAATTAAATTTTTGTTAATTTTATAACATTAGACTAAAAAGTAAATTTGAAAAAAAAAAAAAAAAAAAAAAAAAAAAAAACAGTTTTAGTAAACAAGCTTTCTAAATAGAAAGCAAAGAATGAAAATTGTAAAATTGAAAAATAAATAACAGTTTCTTGAAGTAACAGGCTATTGAGGTTTTTATCACATGCAAATTGATTTTTTTTTTTTTTTGAATGCTACTAACTCTATTAGAATGTAGTATCTATTCATATACTTTCTCAACCTACTGAAACACATTGAGCTAATAATGCCTCCATTGAGGCTCGAACTCACAACCTTCTAAATGAAAGTCCAACCCGGGTACCATTATACCACATAGTCCTGGTATGCAAATTGATTTATTATTCACAAAAAAATATATAAAAATTTGGAGAGCTATATTTTAACTAAACTTATTTAGTGATGCATGTAGGAAAGTTTTCAACCTGAAATTAAAACTTTTACATATTAAATAACAATAGCGTCTACACTTGTAAACACTCAATCAAAATCATCTGAAATCACATAATTCTCGAATAACTACTGTACTCTTACATATAGAATTCTAAGATGATTGATATAGAAAGTGAAGTTTCATACTCAAATCTTTTGACTGAAATAAATTATTAAATATTTCGAGAGTAAGTGAATATCATACCCAAAATATGAAGGAAAAACAATAATTTTAAAATGAAATGCAATGGAGTTTCTATAGCCTACTAGTGAAATGCAAACCAGCCCCAAGTTAAAATAATAAAAGATGTTGAAAACAAACAAAAAAGATGTCAAAATTATTTATAAATACATTTATTCTAAAAGCTAAAAATAGGAATGTCACGGCAAATAAAATGAAAGATAAATCAACATATTAATTCCATGCCAAATTTATGCTTCCTTGTTATAATTGTTAGTCAAAATTACTGATTTTATAAATTTTTCTAATACAATTTATCTCTTATCTATAATTTACGAGTTATTATATAAAAGCAGAATTTACATAATTTAAACATACAAAATTCATCTCCTCACTTGGAGAATTCAAACAGCAACAACCATAACTACCTCTAGCAATTTTTCTTTTCAATTTTTGTTTTAAAGATAATTTTTAAACTAAGCTACTTCAAATCATCAATTATCAAAAAAATTTATAAGTTTACGGGTAATATATATATATATATATATATATATATATATATATATATATATATTGCACATTATTTTTAGTTTTTTTTATTGAATACTTACACAAATATTTAGCTCAATGGTTTAAGGAAACAAACGAAATAAGTTTAGCAGTCTATTTGACACATTTTTCAACTATTAAAGTGAATAACTTATTATTACAATTTAAGATTTTGATACAATTTTAATTAGTTTTTAAACTTCATTTGAAAACTTTCAGTTTGACTTAAAATTGTACAGAATTTCAAAGAAAATCAATTACAGTCTTAAAATCTTCATCTATTTTCTTATTAAACACTGTTTATACAACTAACTAACTCAGACAATTTATAGTTTTAGCAAAAATTATATTATAATAATTCAAATTTAAATTATATGTAATATTTCAGTGTTATTTTTAATCTAAAAAAAAAAAAAGTAAGAACATTAATCATTCTATATTATGCATGTATGCCAAACATAGATAGATGTTGAATCATTTTTTTTTATCAAGTTAAAAAAATTAATTAGAATTGCACCAACCGACATTTAAGTATTTGTACGTATTAAACTATCAAGTTATTATTATTATTATTATTATTATTATTATTATTATTATTATTATTATTATTATTATATTGGAATCCAAAATTTTGTATATTCTTCCACCAATAATTAAGTAATGCGTAGGACAAATTATAATAAAAATCCATGGGCATAAACCAATCATTTGTACGTACGTAGTTAGTCGATTTCAGATATGAATTTGTTGAAATTGTACGTACTTAAATTCATTACGTTTGATTTTCAAAAAAAAAATCATTACGTTTGCTTATGAAATTGATGGAGTTATTTACGAGGTTCGTTACATTTATTTATGAAATTCAACAAGTTATTACGTGTCAATCACTGCAAAAATCTTTGGACGACGATATAAACCCACAGTTATTATCTAAATGTGTATCAGACACATTTTACCCCTGTGTAATAATCTAAAAATTCGATCACACTAAAAAAAATTTTATGTGATGAGCTCGATTAAAAAGATGTTGATATCAAAGAATATGAAATTTTGTTTAAGAAAAATAACACTTTCGACCCATGAATTATTTCACTTTTGAAAATTTGATCCATGTTAATTGATATGAGCATATTTAGTCTTTTAATTGTCCATTATGTTACACTTTTAGTTTCTATTGTTATATAATTATCAAAGTCTTTAACAAATTAAACTCTTTTTATGAGGTTATTATTGTCATTTAGAATCAATATCCATAGTTAAAGTTTCACTTCCTCCCTATGAAAATATTATTTTTAAAAGTGAATATGAATTCTGAATAATAAAAATATGATTATGTGTTAGTGAAGTTCGACAATTATTATATAACACTAGGGACTAAAAATGCAACATTATAAATATTTGAGGGGCTAAATTTATTTAAATTAATTGATAAGAACCAAATTTCTAAAAATAAAATAATTCAAGAACCAAAAATGTAGTTTTTTTTTTTTTTTATAAAGAAAAGGGTGAGGTGAGATTTTGTGAAATTGATTATTGCTTGAATATTATCTCTTATATAACTGTTGGAATATATATTATTAGTAAATGGCCCAACACAATATGCTCGGCAAATTATGCCCAGGACCTGTGTCCACAATGCATTGTGGACTGTGGACACGAGTCCAAAACGATGTCGTTTTTAAAAAAAATAACACGTCATTCTAGTTTTAAAAAAAATTTTAATTTTGTCTCGCCGTTAACGCCGTTAACGGCGTTATTCGTTTGTGCCATTATGAATGTACAGTTATGGCATTATGAATGTACAGTTATGATATTATGAATGTAAGTTATAAAATTATAAATACAGAATTCTGACATTATTAACTTACAATTATGAACATATAGTGATAAAATTATGAACATAGAGCTCTAAAATTGTGAACATGGAGCTTCGAAAATTATGATTTTACAGTTATTGAATTATGAATGCACAGTTACGGAATTATGAATGTACAGTTATGCAATTATGAATGTACAGTTATGCAATTATGAATATACAGTTATGGAATTATGAACACAGAGCTCTGACATTATGAACTTACAATATGAACATATAGTGATAAAATTATGAACATAGAGCTCTAAAATTGTGAACATAGAGCTTCGAAAATTATGAAGTTACAGTATTGAATTATGAATGTACAATTACGGAATTATGAATGTACAGTTATGGAAGTATGAATGTACAATTATTGAATTATGAACATAGAGCTCTGACATTATGAACTTACAATTATGAACATATAGTAATAAAATTATAAACATATACTCCTATAACGAATATGTAATTAAAATAAAAAAAAATAAAAAAAAAATAAAAAATAAAAAAGAGAGAGAGAAAGATAACGGCACTGTTACCCTGTCCAGCATGCATGCTGGACACGGGTCCAGAGCATAACAATTGAATATGCTCAAACCACTAAATGATACGGAGTATCAAATAAGGTGTGCAGCCCAAACTCGGAGGAGCGTTATGCTATGGACCCGTGTCCATCATGTGCATGGTAGACACGCTGTACATTCATAATTTTTATATTGTACATTCATAATATTTATATTGTAGATTCATAATTTCTATACTGTAGATTCATAAAATTTATAATGTAGATCCATAATTTCTATACTATACATTCATAATTTCTGTACCGTAGATTCATAATTTCTATACTGCACATTCATAATTTCTATAATGTAGATTCATAATTTCTATAATGTAGATTCATAATTTCTATACTGTAGATTCATAAAATTTATAATGTAGATTCATACAGTACAGAAATTATAA